ACGTTTTTGTGACGGACGAACAGAACTACAGACAAACTAATGAGATTTAATGTCCCCTCGCTTTTGCGAAAGCAGGTGGCAATTATTTTCACCTTGACCTTTGGCAAATTGACTTCAACTAAACTGACCAAGACTTGCTATTCCGAAAGATACATTGCGGGTTCCAGGAAATTTTCCTCTTTCCTTAATCTTCACTAAAATTCTAATAGCAGTGAAGGAGAGACTTCATGAGAACTGAGCAGCAATACTCAGTATATTCGAGAAATGGTGTAAATCATTGTGGATACTGAAAAGTTCCAAGGAAATGTTGGAAAAATTGAAAAACACAATACTTTACCAAAGTCAATAACATAAAAACTTTTCATCTCTGTATACAAACATTCGCTACAGTAAATTTAAGTCCATATTTTTTTTTACATCATTGACAGCTGCATTTTTAATAAATTTTGTTTTCTAAAATTTACTTACCTTGTCATTGAGATCATTTGCAAAATTATTTTGTTAATAAACATTTCGATTGTACAGACAAGTTACTCTGAAATTGATATCAAAAAGATCCTTGAGGCTTGAGTTTCTGATCATTAACAAAATATATGTGGTTTTTGGAGACCACATTTTCCAATGTTTGAATCATCGTTATTACCAGACCTAATTTTGTACTCGTATTCCGAAGCACGTTCTTCAGGATCTTACACATGGGAAGAACGAATGACTTGCTGTGGCATTCAACTCGACATATACATCAATTCGAAGATGTATCATCAGTTAACCATACCAGAACTTATTATATCCCCCGCTTGAAAAGCGGGAGGGTATATAGTTATTAGTATGTTCGCCCGTCTGTCTGTTATGCTTTGGGATACCCATCTCTTATCCGCAACTCCTCTCATACCACTGAAGGAAATTTAATGAAACTTTCAAAGATTCTTAATTACATATTGCCATTGTGCACCTCCTATTTTACTTTTTGATCTGACACATATTTTGAGTTTTCCACAACAAAACATGGACACTCCCATTGATTATATTTATATTGGGGGCGGGGGTATCATTTAGTGAGCTCATTGCTCACAGTACCTCTAGTTTCAATCCACATGTCGCTATGATATATCCCAGTGAATGTGAGATGTTTTAAGATACTACAGTCCTACACTTCGGGTTCATATTTGGATATTTTACTCTAGAAAAAGAAGTCAATGGTAACTCAACAAGAAAGCTTTAGGATCATCATGATACATTTGTAAAGCTAACTTTCCCATCGTCAACTTCTTTTTACCTATGCAGCAATATAGCCTTATCATCTGCAGGGTTTATTTCTCACAGTTAATTTCTAAAACGAGGTAAGTTACTGACAAACAAGTTGATAAAACATTTTCGATTATAGTCATCATTTCGTAAGTTCTATGGTTGTAACAATGGCATTGTCAGCAAATACAATGTATCATTGAATCAAATGCTGCATGAATGACGTTTTTCATACTAATTGTCAGACCATTATTTAAACATGGCATTGTCCACGGTTTTTTTCTCTCGCTATTTCCCGATCAGGACAAGGAGCACACGGCGGTTGCAAACGGTCTGAAGGGGGTGCTCACTCCTCCATGGCACCTGACCCCACCTCTGATGTTTTAGATGTGTGTGTTTGCTCTGCTCCTGCATGATTTGTATTGTTAAACAGACTTTTCAGTTTGAATACTGTTCGTAATTACTTCCATACATTATCCACTTTAGGGGGAATATTTTTCAAGTTAACAGTCTACATCGATCTACAGGACACCATCAATCATATTTCAAAAAGATGAATAGACTACTAGGTAAAATTTGGGTAAAATGCAAGAGAATTTCTTGGAATCTGGGTCATTTTCAGCCCCAGTTTGGACCCCATCGTGAGAATGAAAATTCCGAAACTTTATTTCACATCTACAGGACTTCACAATTATTTTTCAAAAGATAAGGCTACTGCCCAAAATGTAAGAGAAGACTCTGAACCAGAGTTTTCGTGAATGTTTTCGTCAATTTTCAGTCCCGTTCGATTTAATTCAAGGGTGGAAACGAAAATTCCGAATCCGTATTGCTCATCAACAGAACACCACCAGCCATCCTAAGATTTAGCTATTATGTAAATTGTAAAAGGAGTTCTGGGCATCAGAGGATTTTTTACTCCATTTGACACAAATGGTAAAATGAAAATTCTGAGACCTTATTGCACATCTACAGGACACCACCAATCGTCTTCCAAAAGACGGTTAGTGCGTAAAACGTATGAGCTACTGCATAAAACATATTAGCTATAGGAGTCCTGGGAAGCAGGGTTTATTTTAGTATAATGAAATATGGAGATAAATATTCAGGCTCAGGAGTCCATTCACACAAAACAAATCAGGAGCAGAGCATTACTGCAGAGCTCTAAAACATTTTAAGTGAGATTAACTAAGTGCCATGGAGGAGTGAGCGTCCTGACCGACCACACCTGTGTGCTTCTAGTCATGATCGGTCAAAAGGAAAATCCATATTTGTGTGTAAATATTGGTTTAAAATAACGTCATTTAAGCACTCGATTTCGTGATAAATCCTATCGACCACGACTTGTTAAATGATGTCTGTTGATATCCTTGATTCATCAACTTATCTGAAAATAGCTCACCTTGCCTCTTTTCAGAAATTGTTCGTGCAGGCGACAAAGAAATAAAGCTAATTACTTTACGATAGAAAAAAAATCGTCATCACGTTGATCACGATTTGGTGTTAGATTACCATTAACTTTTTTCTCTCGTAAAATATCCAAATATTACTCAGTCAGACTCTGGTATCTTTAACTTCATGCTCACTGGGATAAAGAGTTGACGATGAATGGAATGAAACATATAGAGATAACGAATAGTCCTCCAGATCAAAAGTCCATTAAGCAATACAAAATATGAGCAGAGCAAACACAGACCACAAAACATCAGGTGGGATCAGGTGCCATGGAGGAGTGAGCATCCCCTGCCGACTGGTCACACCCGCCGTGTGTTCCTTGTCATGATCGGGAAATAACGGAAAATAAGTCGTCCATTCAGTGTATAAATAATGGACTAACAATTAGTATGAAAAACGTCAGTCAGCATTTGACTCAATGATAAATTGTATTTGCTGACAAGGTAATTGTATCGACCATAAAACTTACGAAATGATGACTTTAAACGAGCCTGCTGAAATTCTTTCATTAACTTGTTTGTCCATAATTTACCTCGTTGTAGAAATTGTTCATGCATAGAGCATGCTCTAGCGTACCTAATCAACTGAGATAAGTAAACTCCGTATGCAGGTGATGAAGGTATATTGCTGCATAGGTAAGGGAAGTTGACGATAGAAAAGTTCAAGTCATCAAGTTTATCAAAGATCATGGTTGTTAGATTACCATTAACGTCTTTTTTCAAGAAAAATATCTAAATATGAAACAAAAGTGTCAGACTCTGTGGTATCTTTTATCTCAAGTTCACCAGGATATATCGTCTCGACATAAGAATGGAAATTACCATTGTCAATTGACAGTACTTCGTCGATATATCTAAATGTCGAGTTGAAGGCCACAGAAAGTGTTTTCTTCTTTTTACGCATAAGATTTTGCACAAATTCTGCTTCATATGAATACTAAAATAGGTCTGCTAATAACGGGGCGCAATTGGTCCCTATGGGAATTCCAATAGATTATTGGAAGACCTGGTCTCCAAAAACAACATAAGTATTAAACAAAATGAATTTAATTTTTGAAGATTCATGAGGTTATGAACTAAGCGCATTAGCGCTTCATGATAAATATGCCGGCATGAAGCGTTGTAGTTCATATACCTCATGAATCTTCAAAAAATAAATTCATTTCTTATATTTACATTATTTTTCTGACGAGTAGTTCACAAATCTACGCCATTCATCTGTCACTTTTAAAGCAAAACAGTTTGCACTACGGTTTTACGTCAAGTGCGGTATTGTGACGTGACGATGGAGATATTCATGCGCATCCGTGGTAGTTCATGAGAAAATGAACAATGCTCCTATTATCAAGGAATTTTATTGAAAATTATTTGGAAATGTAAAAATTGTCAATCAGAAACTCAAGCATCTTTTTGCTGTCAACTTTTGCTAACTATTGCTATTGTTGATTGATAATGCGCAAGTGATATATCTAAATGTCGAGTTGCGGGCCACAGCAATTTTTTTTTCTCATGTACAAGTTTTTGAATTACTAGTAGTTCTGCTTCTTTTTATAAGGCATATAATTATATCCGCACTTTCTAATGAAATTTTGAAGTATAGTTATCCTGGTCTGTCTGTCTGTTTGAACGTCTGTCACATTCTCTTCTTCGTCAAACTACTCTTACATTTGAAGCAGTAGCCAACTCATCTTTTTGAATATGATCGGCAGTGCCTTGAAAATGTTAAAAGAATTAAAATTTTCATTTTCACCTGGATGCCAAATGAGGATGAAATGGAATATTTTTTTCCTTTAAAAATCTCTCCCTCTTTTTCTTGCTTATTTGACAATAGTCCATACATAAATATTTTGGAATGTCACTGGGGTGTCCTGCCAATGTACATGCGCAAAAAAGTTTCATTTTTAATTTCTACCTTTGGTATCAATTGTTGGTCAAAAAACAAAAAATTCTGCAAAAACCATGGACTCTGCTTACAGATTTGGCAGAAAAACAACTCATCTTTTGGAATATGATTGGTGGTGTCTTGTAGTTGTGCAATAAGGGTTTGGGAACTTCTTTCATTGGGGGGCAGTCAATAAACATTTTTTCTCCCCCAAAAAATCTAGTTCCTGGAAATCATCCTGGACTAGGAGTCAAACCAACCCTTGTTCCCTCCATTACTAGTCAAGTGTTTAAATTACCCTGGCTGATATCCACAGTCAATTTAGCCCAAACCACTACTTACAACCCATCCTTCTACTCTATATCAGACTCCTATTCTTTTGCTATTAAGACATATAAACAACAAATTTAATACACAAAATATTCCTTTCACTTCTTTTATTGAAACTGTGAATACTAGTACACGAGTATCTTCTGCCAGATACGACAAGCTTCACATCAGATACAGGTACCTGTCTACAAAAAAACAAGCAACATTTATTTGGCCAATCAAGGATGCTGGTCTTCATGTGCTTCAAATACTTGTCAAGGAAACACAACATCCCTGACTCTGACACATCTAACTAAATCTTTTAATGATGATCTCCAGCTATGGAATCATAGTATCAAAGTCCTTATATAACACTTTTTCACTCAAGACATTTTATATCAATACTTACCAGATACCAGATTGCAAAACGTGCAAGGACACTGAAATATGAAGTTTCTTGATCTAATTTTGGCCCAATTCATTGCATCAAACAACAGAAGGAACCATCAAATGAAGTTGAATTTCAAACGGGATTCAACCTCTAGATTTGTGATAACCAATACGCTACCTCACTTTTACATTTGCATCTTTTAAGAGTACTATGCTCCAATGAACATGTACATGTACCTTAACTGCCACAATTCTGTAACAAATGATGAGCCGAACAGAACCAATCACTCAGTCTAGAAATAATAAACCCTTAGTTTTTCCCTTTACTGCTTCAAACATTTTTTTTTCAATCCCTTCATAGCAATGAAGGAAATTTAAATATATGACAGCAATCTAAACTGAATGCCATTTGCTCTTAGAAAATTTTCATGATCAATACTTTTCTGCATGCAAACATTGAATTTTCCCTTGAAATTCTAATCAATGAACTTCCTGATTTATCTAACCACTGATTGGAATACCATTACCTTCGTACCCTTGTCTTCTCTTATTCTGCACCAGTTTGGGTCTTCATTTTTCAACTCCAAACATTTTCTATCTTCATAAATACCTACTATTTTCTTCCCACTCCCTATATTCTCAATTTTCAATCTTCATCCCCTACTCGAATAAAAATTTCTTCATTTTCTGACCAATTCTTCATTCCTACTTCTCAATTTTTCTTTCTTCATTTTTCAAATCTTCAATTACTCTTCATAACTGAAGATACCCAAACTTCTCTTCATTTTTCTGTCTTCAAACCCTTATAAAAGGTAAAGAATGCTGATCAGTATACATGGCTATTTATTTACAACCATATCTATACATTGTAATTAAACAAGATGTAATAATTAAAATCAGACATATAGACTAATCTTGATAAATGGTTTGTAAGACATGTACAGGGTGTTTCACAATATATGTCACACATCTAAATGAAAATTCACAAGATACCAAATCTTCCAAAACACCATAGGTAAGGATATCGATCAAAATTATGATATCGCAAAGTATCGGGAAAATTATAACATACTCTGAAGTAACTTTATATAACATTATGCCATAATATCAGCTGTTCTCAAAATGGAGTACAACTTGCAGCAAAAATTTGTTGTAAACTTTTATTATAAGAATATCCTAAAATATAAATATTGTACAGGATGTGATAATGAAAAATATAGACCAGAAAATGCGAAGTTTTCATATATTAACAATAATTAAAAGTTTGAATCAGATTAATTTTAATGTAAAGATGAAAGACAGTTAAATCCTGTCAACCCCCACTCCCTAAAAAAATCAAGAAGAGATGAGAACAATATCAAAGTGAAGTCAATCATTAAGAAGACCTCATGAAAGTTAGATCTGAGCTTGTACAACAATGCCGGTAAGTGTATCAAGTGTATTTAAAATCTTCAATTTGATGTGTTATACAAATTTCAGTATTTTAAGCCAATTGACATTCAGAGTCGATTTAAGTTTGCCAGATTGACTGAAAGGAAGAGCGAAAGAAGTGGACAAATTAACACATACCGATAGTTCTAAAACGACACATTTATTTAAATGCAACTTTAAATAAAATAGATATTCACTTTGGGGGTTCTAAAAAGCCAGATTTATAATATATAAACAAAAAAAAGTCCAGTATCTTGTGAAGCTTACAAAACAATGAGGCATTAGTCTATTTAGTTATTTAGGACAATGTTGGGAAACACTTGGAGAATAACATTTTAGGATGAGTTGCCATAGTAATTGAAGTAGAAAATGTTGGATACTTCTGACTCAAAAAAATAACTTTGAATATATGCTGATTCAAATTATATAAAATGTATATGTAGCTTTTGTTGTCATTTATCTATCTGTCTTTAGATATGTGACACATATTGTGAAACACCCTGTACATGAAAATTCACCACAAAGCACAGGGATGTACTTATAAACAGAACATTCAAGTAAACTCTCATAAACAGATTTATAATTATGGCTGTTTATCAAAGAATTTTAAAAACTCATTTGAATACTGCTTGCAGAATGCAGTTAAAATCATTATTATTACCAAAGCTTTACATATGTACTCGCAAATCAAACACTTCATTATTTTCTTATAGCATTTTTTAAAATTCCAGTTCCACAGGAGGCTTCATACACTTAGTAAATAAATATGACTTGGAGGAAAATTTGCTATTCAGACCACCAGATATCATTCTTTAATCATTTCACAAATCTTATTTTACAATTTAGAGAAATCCGTCAATATACTCACTTACAAATGTGCTTTTACTAATCTTTCAAAATTTTGAATATGTTACAATGAACATTGTTTCCTATTTTAAACAATGTCTGTAATTTCAAATTGGATATTCTGATATCTTCAATATTTCAGTGTATTCAGCCCCTTTTTGTTCGAATATTATTACAATTCATAAAATAACACACAATTAAAATAAAGAATATGAACAAAAGCTACAAAATATTTTTTCTTATTTTTTTTGAAATGTCAAAAGTCTCATTTCGTTGATGCAATTTAACAAATTGCTGTTTGTTTACAATAACACCTCCATATTTGATCATTTTAATGACTTGGTTGTATACCTCCTCAATAATAACCTCCCCCTGGCAAAGAAACAAAACACCAACATTTAAACATGGTAGCATCAAAGATTTCCCCTCTCAAGGAGTAGAGAAAACATGATACAGGTATGATGAAAATGGGATAATGATAGATACATTAATCAGTGATTTCTGCAGTTGTCAAACTTTGTAGTTCACTCAAACTGACAGAAAAAAAATTAAAATATGAAATATGTCAATTCCAAATACATGTAATTGCAAAAAAGTGAAAAACATGCCTTGGGGACTTCAGATCTCTAAGAGTTTTCAAATGCAGAAATCACCCTTTAAATGATATACTGTACTTAAAATGTGATTTTAAAATTATAAATTAAGAAAAGAGAGATTAATTTGTCTGAAATCTGAATTATGTGTAGAAGACTAAAACTTTAATAAATGAATAGTGCTATTTTAATACAATGACCTAAATAGAAAAGCGAATTTCTCTTTTAAGATAAAGGCATCTGCAAAATCATCTTAAAAATTTATTATAATCTGAGGAATGAAAATTTCCATGCATTGCAACATTTTTATTCTTTTGAATTCTAGAGAATATATAAATCTAAATTTTGATGAGCTAGTTGAAATGTCATTCACAGGAATATGATGCTTTATACTGATACTACAATCATTCAATATATCACTGACTGAGATGAATTTAGAGGACCAGGTGAAAAAGACATGAAGCAGGGAAAGATTGATCATGCAGCAACACATCTCGGTAAATTTGAGGACTACTTACTTGGGCTGTACGACCTTGACCTTGACCTGGATCTGGAGTATCGACTCCCTCGGCTGTAGCCCCCTCTTGAATATGGGGAAGGTGATCTCCTTCCCCTGTAGCTGGACCTTAACAATTACAAGGTAAAATTGCATTATTTTTCAATATCTGTAATTACATAATACTGAATGATGAAGTAAACAGGAACATTTCAGCTTTGTTTTTTCTTACATCAACTTCAAAAAGCAGCTGCAAAATCCAGACAATTCTTTCCATTATAAAAATTTATTTGCCGCAAGAACAGTTTGATTACTTTAATACTACAATTATATTGAAATATGTACAGCCCCATTGAGAACCTGTGCAATTTGCTAAAAATAATATATGGATGACTGAGGTACTAAACATACGTAGTAGGTTTGCCGAGGTAAATCCCAGGAGTGGGGGTGTGAGCTCTTGTTGTGATAGAGAAATCTACTCGGATTCTTCGCCCATCGATCTCCATCCCAGGGCCCCTGTCCTTTGCCTTCAATTGAAAAATAAATTGATGAATAAATTTATTTTTGTATTTTATAGTGCTCAAATCACCAAAGCAAGCATTCATTTGAATGAATATTATGTAAATCATTTATCTGTTGACTTAGGCATAGACTCAAATAAATAAACATTTATTGTTAATTTTTTTTTAATTAATTTTTATGCGCCCGGATCTATAGATCCGAGGCGTATATTGTTTTTGTCCTGTCTGTATGTCTGTTTATCTGTTTGTCTGTTTGTCTGTTTATCTGTTTGTCTGTCTGTCTGTTGTCAATTTAACCTTCGCCATAACTTTTGAACCATGAGAGATAGAGAATTCATATTTAGTATGCATACTCGACCAAAGAAGCTCTTTCAAATGGCACCAAAATCAATGACCTTGTGTCCTTGACTGTGACCTATATGCTAAAAATAGCTTTTTCGAACTTTCGCCATAACTTTTGAACCATGAGAGGTAGACACTTCATAATTAATATGCGTACTCCACTAATAAAGCTCTTTCAAATGACATCAAGGTCGTGACCTTGTGACCTTGACTGTGGCCTATATGCTAAAAATAGCTTTTTAGACTTTTTGCCATAACTTTTGAACCATGAGAGATAGATACTTCATAATTGGTATGCATACTTCACTAATAAAGTTCTTTCAAATGACACCAAGGTCGATGACCTTGTGACCTTGACTGTGACTTATCTGCAAAAAATATTTTTTTTTTAACTTTGTTACCGCCAGGCGCATAGTGTTTCACAAACACATCTTGTTCATCTTACTTCTCACATTTTTTTAAAAATCTTGTTTAAATTTGTGTTTGTAAGCAATTAATCACCATTAATTTGGAAATGAAATCAGTTCCATTACCTCAATAGAATCTTCAATGTTTCTGAAGTGGATGAAAGCAAAGCCTCTGGATCTTCCTGTCTGGGATAAAAAAAAAAAGAAATGCATAATGCTTACACAAATAAAACATTTGTTTTTAGTACATGTATATACTGACTTGTTTGAAACCTAAAACAAGAGTTGTTCCTCTTACCTGTCTATCATACACAACTTGTACATCTTCCAGTGGACCAAATCGACCAAAGACTTCTCTCAAGTCTCGTTCCTGTGTGTACAGACTCAAACCAAAGATACCCAAACATTTGGTAGGCTCTGGATTGTCCTAAACAAGAAAACATCACTTAATCAAATTGACTACAATGTCTCTATTTTTTATGGGGAAAAAAGAATATTTGCCAATTTTTTTCAATTTCATACATACTAATAATTCTGATTCTGTGAAAATCCCGATTGCTTACAACTAGAAAGGGGATTTAACTTTTTCCAATCCCCAAAATTTTCTTTTCAGAAGCTACCATTTCATGGCACTGTGCCTGTTGAAAGTGGGGAGATGGGGCTTAACATACACCCAATGTTCAATTGCCTATATAATGTCTATCTTTGCCAAAAAAAAAAAGTGTCCCAATGCCTATGTCATAATTGTTTATTCTTATCCTTGCTACCTGACCTACAAATCTTTCATTTAATACACAAGTCACATACTCTGTTTCCAGTGTGTCTTCTTCTGTTGGACATGGGGGATGTTTCCTACAATGTGGGATGAAGAATAAATCTTACAAGTTACACATCACATATAGCAATACTTAATGGTGGCTATACATCTGCTGATATGATCAAGTCTACAGATCTTCATGTTTTAAATTATTGCAATAATCTGACATACTGTCTCAAACTTACTTTCAAAAACATATTTTAACACATCAGCTGGTATTTCACTCATTTTCTGATTTACATTGCTTTCATATTTCTAACACATCATATACTTCTACAGGTTATATCAACAAGGAAATTGTCATTTTACCACCTTTCCTCTTCTCCGTCTGGAATATCCTGGGGATCGACTACGACTTCTGTATCGACTGCTGCGGCTCTCTCTGTAATAGTCCCTGCTCTCTCTGCTTTCTCTGTAATAGGGAGACCTCCCACGGCTGAAGAGAGACAGATGGGTATCAAGCATACAGGAAGAATTTGGCATACAATTAAACATACAAAAGACTACAATTAAAACATACAAAAGACTACGTAAATTCATTCAACACCCAGAGGATTGGGTCAGACATTGAGGAAATCTTCTTCTGGGTTTAAATCTAAATAATAAAAGCACTGCAAGATTTTCTTGCAACTTACCTTCTGCTCCTTGAGCTGAAAATTAAAAGAATAAAATAATTATTCATCATCTGAATGATAAATCTACGTATTTTACTTAAATTCACTATGGTATTAAGACAAAAAGAGTTATCTCTCTTTGCAAATGCTTCCATTTTGTTTTTAAGGACAGTTAATATTTTCTCTATGTTGTAAAACAGTTATAAAATTAAAATATTGTCATTCCCATATCCTATGCAAACTTTTAAAATCAATGAATTACATGATCTTTACAAAATTCCATCTTAGATAACATATAATATTTTTGTCACAAATTAAAATGAATACACCCAATAAAACTCACTATCTTGATCTTTTGTGATAGCCCCGTGATCCTGACCGTGACCTTGAATAGCGATCTCTGTGATATGACCTGCTCCTGGACCTGTTTAAAGAAGAAAATAAATGGACACATAATGATTTGATTCATATAAAGATTGTATGTATATCACATGTAAACATTTATCAACTGGGCTACGTACTTCATAAAATTCATAGATGCTCTGGAAAGATTTGTGCTGATCGACAGACATTTATCTGATACAAGTAACAACTTAAAATATGGGGTTTTTTAAAAATTAAAGTGATATATGTAGTGATGAAACGATTGTCGCCGACGATCGATTGTCGATCGTTTTTGGGTGTTCGATTCCGATTATCGATTATGTTTTTCATAATCGATTGTCGCCCACATAAACTTGCCCAAATAAACTCGTACAATTTGAATGAAACAAATACGTACGCATTAACAATACATGTAAAACGAAAGAAGGTCAACAAAAATGGCATCCGAAGACGAAGTTAATAACAATCAAGTAGAAATTTACCCATATCCAGGATATGCATAGATAGACCGTTCTATTGTTAAAACAATATTGTCCTACGGACCGGGTTTAACGATGGAATTTGTTCCGTGTATTCGTTATGTAACGAAACAAACACGGGCAATAACTCGTACTCGGACAATCTAGAGAGTTCCGAATGTAAACATGGCAGGTAAATTTGAAGCAAGAGAAAACGTGGAGAACATTAATTGTCCCCCGCTTGAAAAGTGGGGGATATTAATTTGGGTTTGTCCGTCCGTCCGTCCGTCTGTGTCTGTCTGTAACGCTTTCGTTTCCACACGATATCTCGAGAACCCTTTGAGCTTTTGCAATGAAATTTAGCATAGCAACTCCCTGTGGACTAAAGAAGACCCCTATTGATTTTGAGGTCAAAAGGTCAAAGGTCAAGGTCATAAATAAGCAAAATTCTGTCTGTTAAAACACTTTCGTTTCCACACGATATCTCTAGAACCATTTGAGCTATTGCAATGAAATTTTATATAACAACTCCCTGTGGCCTAATGAAGACCCCTATTGATTTTGAGGTCAATAGGTCAAAGTTCAAGGTCGTAAATTTATACATTCTGTCTGTGTGAAATACTATTATTCCCGGGCGATATTTCAAGAAGATTTTGAGCTTATGCAATGTAATTTTATATCAAAACTCCCTAGGACGTCTTTCGCCCCTCTCAAAGTGCCCCGCCCCGTTTGTTTTATTAGTATTTATAGTATTACGTCGCTATTTTTAGCGCAGGGGCATGAGGAGAGTTATTGCGTATAAAACAGGTTCTCGGCGGACTTTATGTTCTTATTACATCTATTAGAACTGTTTATTAAAGGCTTAATAAATCAAACACCGTGGATTGTGTAAAATTTTGAGAATACCGAACATGAAAACATGAATATATACATGTATGTGACTTCACTTCTGCATATACTTCACAACAAGTAAAGCGATTCCATGGTCTAGTGGTTATGTCTCTCGCTTCAAGTGTGAGAGGTCAAGGGATCGAATCTCGGTCGAACCTTTCTTTTTTTTTTTTTTTAAATACATTTTTTTTTTTACTAAATGATAGTATTCAGCATGTGAAATGAAAAATTTATGAGGTTATAAAATCATAATTACAGTGTGATAAAAATTCCATATAAAGAAATCTTCTATACACATAATGAAGAATAAGCAATCAAATCTTTATATGCATATTGACATACATGTATTTTATTTGCTTCAGTATACATGTATACATTTAATAATTCTACAAATTCAGTCAGGGGGAGCCGACTTTTTCCCTAAGCGGGGGACACGAATTCTCTGAATTAGCTTGTTGGATTTGTCGTCTTTATATGGATTATTTTTTGGGATAAAAGTCATAAGCAATTAATTTGGAAGTTATTTCCAGTGCAAATCCTTTTATATTCTTCAAAATCATTTTGGAGCGGAGCCGCTCCTATTTGCTACATTGCAAGTATATGGGATGTATTCTAACTGTGGTGAGGGCTTTTACCAAGACACAGTTAGATTATTCTAACTAGGGAATGCAAAATCTGATGTCATGACAAAAATTTTTTTTTTTATGAGGAAACATGTACCGTAATTTTCGGGTTATAGGTCGATGGGGTATATAGGTCGAAAGGCTCATTTTCAGCCTTAATTTTTGAAAAATCCTAAGATAGGACGAACTTACTATATAGGACGAGGCTTTGTTTCCCGTTTTCTAAAGATTCTTACAGATACAACGTATCAGAACAGGTAAACCTCTATTATTACCGGTCAATTCCGTGACATGAACGTATCAAGAAAACAAACAGGTATTTTAATGAGTACAGCATTTAAATAAAGTTTTTTAAAAAATGTAGTTAAAACTTCTTTGAATTGTGTTACTACTTTTTTTTCTCCAACTTGCCTGTTCAATGCCTCCCTAGTTTCATACTCTTGTTAAACCAGAGGCAAAAATAACACGTAAATACGTTTCTTATTTTAAGCTATAATTCGGGAAATACCCGAGATCAAAGAATAATAATTCTGATTTCAGAACAACTTGGACACATTCCTAATATAGTTTATTCAGTTAGTTATTTACCGGTGGACGACAATTGCTTCGATGTCCGCCATTTTCATTTTTGTTCTTCAGGGATTTGCTAAAACCCGCAAACGACCATTGAATGTATATATAAAGCAACAGTAAAGAATTGAAATAATAATATTACCACGCTGTAAGTTTAATTTATAAATTTAATTGAGAGTACCGGTACATCCACAATTTGACAGTCATTATGAATTTCATGGCTTTGTTTGTTCAATGATGCGTAACACTAATACCCTATAACGGCACGTGGATTTGCTAATCATGCCCTGCGGGTATTAAACCAACACAGGTGTTGAAACCTTTGCGTGTACACAGTGTAAATCCTTTTATCTGTCAGACAATTAAAATTCGTTAGAAGCCAATCTTTGTATAGCGGTAATTCAGTGTACTTCTTGTGTACGGAGAAGCTTTTAATAAACCTTATAATATCAGTTAAAATTATATTTCTTTCTTAAATCATATTTCTGTAACCTGCATTTATTACTAATTCTTTGCTTGTAAAACTCCATATCAATAAAATTAATTTTTTATCATCCGCATGTATATTTCCATAATTGCTTGCAAAACTTAAAACTATCTTTCAAAACGATTTTTAGGAATTGACTGGCAACAATTTATTTCACGCATTTTACATTAAAATAAATATAAGACTTTTACAATAAAAAAATTAATACTATTTCAATTTATCAGTCTACTAATTAATGGTAAAACACTACACTTGTGATCTTGAAAAATTTTCCGTATTTTAAATTTTGATACGGTTGCGGTTTTACTTTTAGTAAACGATAGCGACTTCCTAACTTCACAAGATGGCTACCGCATGATGGCCAATGGATAACACGTTGAGGAATTATTAACTTGATGAAGCACAGTTTTTTCCTTTGTCATCAGCGGACATGTAATGGAATTTATTTTGTAAGAAAGCTATAGAATAAATATTTTATTGTTTACCTAGGCATTAATTTTTCTGCGTAAAATAATGAAAAAAGTTATAAAAGTGGCACAGATTTGCTCTGAAATTTACGTAAATTTTATTGATTTTGGGGCATTTTTCGTAAACTTGAGCCTTAGAAAGGTCGAATTCGTATATTGGGCGACCCCAGCGGTTCTGAGAAAAAAAGTATCGACCTATAACCCGAAAATTACGGTAATTTTTTTTCTATTTCTTTGTTTCTTATACAACAAAAAGTTGTCATTAGAATAAACTTGATAAAATTTTACTTTTAGTTTGTTACATAAATGATAAATGCTATAAAGAAATGGAATTTAGTATTTGAAATTTTAATTACCAATTAAGTCGATCATTGATCGATTAAGCTTCTCCGATTTTGACCGATCATCGATTATGAAATTTTCCCCATTATTCAACACTAGATATACCCTAAAATCTTGAAAATAAGACGGATTTAATAATAAGCCGGTTTTGAAAGTAAGCCACCTATTTCTTGCATTAAAAATTACTCGAAATTAAGCCAGTTTTGAAAATAAGCCGGTCATGACAATTCCATTTAGGACAGACGTTAAACGTTTGACGATTTCTGTGTCTTAAAAATTTGTAAAATTACTAAATTGTTGTTAATAAAGTTAATTTTTTAACCATTAATCATGTTACACTTGCTAAAAAGAACTTAATTGAGGAACGAGCTAAAATGGTGAATTTTTTTTCATGAAATTGTTAGAACAATAATTATCTCATCTAGACTTGTACAAGCTAACGAGGTAGTAATAATTAAATAAGTAAATAGATAAAGGAAGTTTTTGTTTCTAAAGCATTTAACTGCCAGGTAATACTGCCCAAGGCAAGATCGAAACCTGGTGATCGACAGGGCTTGGTAGTAATTACATTTCAATGTACCACAACTGAGTTGTAAAAATATGTGTTTGATTAATTTATCAAGTAATTCAAATTGCAAGCGGATATCTTATGTATTATTTGTACTTTTTTAAAAACAAGTTTATGTTTCATGTAAATTCATATGCTGTATTCAATGAAATAAACTTTTCGGGATCGACATTCTCAGAATATAAAGTAGACGATCCAAAAGAACGTACACCGGGAAACACCAATGAATACAACAGTGCTCTCTTCTCTTACCAGTTTTTTGCATTGATAATAAGCCGCAATTTGAAAATAAGCCGGTCTTGAAAATAAGCCCCCACTTTCTTACCGAAACTTAAAATAAGCCGCGGCTTATTTTCAAGATTTTAGGGTATGTCATTCAGATTAATTTAAAACAAATGCATAAATATAAGCTTACAAAACTTTTTTTAAGGAGTACTGTCATTTCTACCTTTCGTACAAATACAATATATTCCCAAAACATGATCTGCATTAGATGTCCTACCTTTTCCTTCCTCTAGAGTGTGACCTTGACCTAGATCTGGATCCAGAATAATGTCGTGAGGAGCGGCGATATGGTGACTTGGATGCAGATTTGGACCTGGAATCCCGGGATTTAGGGGATCCTTTTTCATTTGACGGTGATCTTGAGTGGGAGTAGGAGCCATCAGACTTTCGTGATCCCTCGGACTCTCTTGAACGGGACCTTGACATTCGTAGCTGCAAGAAAATAACATATAGGCTATCAAAGTTCATGAATCTCACCTTCATTGATTGTTTTGTGTTCAATTAGCTTCCCATTTGAGAATTTTTCATGACATATACTTCAGGTGAAGTCCTACAAATTTTAACCTACTATAGATGAACACACGCGCAAGCGCGGGAAATCGAATTTATATACAGTTACCATTTACAACAGAAAATATATTGTAGTTGTAAACTGTAGTTTTTACTGACAGACTACAGGCTTATAGAAGGAAGAATACCTTTGTTCAAAATTAAATGATGTTTATGTGAAACCTCAATGAAAAATATAGAAGCGTCTCGGAATTACACGAAAAATCTAGAGAGAACAAGTTTGGTGAGGTTTCTGGCCTCTCTAGATTTTCCATGTAATTCCGGGATGTCTATATATTACGTCAGAAATCGGCGCTTCCGTTCCTTTCGATTTCTGTACTTGGTTTAGAGGACGTTTTGGGTTTACTGCATGTTTCATACAGCAAGTTCAAATAGGCAGACATTTGAAAGGCGTTACTCAATCATTTTTGAAGCTAGATCTCAACTGACACCGGTAAGAAAAATGTAGATATAGATGAAAATTTAGTGTGAACCGAGGTACCCCCTGATTTTCAAGATGGAGAGTGACGCTCCTTTACTCTTTTTATGTACAGTAAATATGACATTTTAAAACGTGCTTATTTCAGCAATTTATTATTTTGATGAGGGTATTCAGACACACCCAGAAAAACACATAATACACAAAATACACCATCCTGAAACCAAGCGCCTATGCCGTAAATTGCACCTTTTTTGCATTATGGGATCTGTAGCCTTATGGTCAAAGAGAAATATATAAAAACCATAATACTACAGATCTGCAGCTATGGTAGTATTATGCTTTGTGTCCAGTGACACCGTCACACGAGGAGTTTCGGTTTCGGAAACTTGCACTCTATATCAGGTCCAGTACAATCAGTACATTTAGCTACGTAGGTAAAATTACCTACGTAGCTTTATTTACCTACCTCAGGTAGCTTGATTTAGCTATTTCAATGTAACTTTTCTTTTTATGGAAAAGAGACAAAAAATCGCAGTTAAATGACTATTGATATTTATACTAGGGAGACTTTAAAAAACATTCCATAGCAGAGATAGTTTAAACATCGCTGTGTTTGGTCAATTTAGAGCAAAACATGTAATTCCATTGTTTGGTTATCTGTCCGTGCGGTGAGGCATGACTGAGTATGATTACTTCACATTGTGCTGAATAATTACCGACCTATTATCATGTTAGCAAGAACTGGACTTCTTTGTCATTTCATTCAAGGAGTAACTGTCATACATAGCCCTAAAACTTTCAGAACTTTGATTGCAATTGCGCAGAAAAAGCCATTTCTTCAAGCGGGAATTTTTCATGAATTGTTTTCAGATGAGTTCAAAGTTGAAAATGATCACTGCATCAAAATGATAGTTTTTGCACATCCTGAGAAAAATGCTTTTTTATAGAAATAAATTCATTTGGTAGCTAAATCAAGCTACCTGAGGTAGGTAAATAAAGCTACGTAGGTAATTCTACCTACGTAGCTAAATGTACTGATTGTACTGGACCTGTATATCAGTCTAAATGCACTTTCGTTTTTGAATTGACTGTTTTCGCCCACTTCTTATCAAACCCCTTTCATTATGATTAATGGCCAAGTCAAAATAATGATCCAAACTATGTACCCCAATAAGCATTGAATATTAAAACAGCATACAGTCTTGGTTTCAGGTTCCTTCAGTTTTTCTTGGAACCAACGACCACGCCATTCTACGAAATTCTTTTATGTTCCAAAACAAAAACATCTGCATTGCTAAGTGGTAAATTTTGAAAAGAAAAGTATTTTAGATACTCACCTCGCCGTTTTCGCTCATTGCTATTTACTAAATCAACCGCAAATTTAAAGATATTCGATGAAATTCTTTCGACACAAAAGTACTCTTCAATATGGCGCTTCCCTCGTCGCTAAAACGTTTAGGTGTATCGTCAATTTCGTCTCCGCGAACACTTGGCACCCGGATGTTTCAGTTCAATATTAAAGGGGAAGAGGAAAAAAGATGAATGTATGACCATGATGACGTGGTCATGTCTACACAACTGAATATGCTTTTTATCCTTCCGTTTAGAAAATGTTTTTAAAACTTTTCCTCAGCAAAAAAAAATTCAAAATGTTTTTAAAATCTTTTTTTAAAATTTTAATTTCTTATCCTTCAAAGTATTGTCACTGACATGTGATCAGAGTGAGACTTATGTTTTGTCATGAGGAATTTTAGTGATCTTATCATTGATCTCTAACTCCAAGAATTCACCCAAAATTTTTATTTTTTAGTTCATAGAAAAATTCTGGCTAATGAGATGTACCCCTACAAATCTTCCAGTACCCTTCCCTTTCCAGAATCCCGGCGACGGACCAGTAATTTCACACCATTATTTTGCCACTGAATGTGTCATAAAAACTCCTCTTTCTGAATCTTTTTTAATGGCACATACATGTATTGTCTTTCTCAGCGTTGCTCAAACAATCCATGACGTAGTCTGTGAATATTTCGGGGGAAAAAATCACCCCTTTCCAGAGTATTTTTTTTTACACTCTGATTCTCCATGAATTTGAAATAACATTTGGATTTTAGAAATTGACAATAATCGTTTATTCGCGAAATTTTCGCATTATGATCGATTTTTTTAAACTTGAAAATGAGCTTTCATAGACACGAGCATTGCGAAAACGTTTAAACGATAAGTTAATAAAAATACAACACAGAAATTTCCCCCGTAAAAAATAGTTCATACATGCCATGTTTAAAATCAAAATGCATCTGAGGATACATCATCGATGTTAATTAAAATTCTATAAATAACAATCCCCCATGTAAAAATCGTACATTGTAAACCAAAATATTGATTACAGATTAGCCAAACTCCCTTTTTTTAGAGTTTTTACATATCTAATACAGGCACCTATTACTATTGTTCTTTATAAAATATACACATACCTAATAATAATTATTAGGTATGTGTATATTTTTTTTTTATTAAAAGAAAAATAAGTAACATCAGATGCTGTGTCTAGAGGGGGTTATGGTGGTTTAATCCAACGTTTGAAATCCCTGAGAGAGAGAGAGAGAGAGAGAGAGAGAGAGAGAGAGAGAGAGAGAGTTGCAAATTTGTTGAGTTTTTACTATAAAAAATGTGTAAAAGGATTCGACTGGGAAAAATACCCCCCCCCCCTCCCACCCGCGTGCGAAATAGGATTTTCAGGTTTGAAGATTTATTCTGCTTTTTTGTCCATTTTTTTTTTAAGGTTTACAACTTGTCAGTGTATTGTAAGTTGAACATGTATGTAGACCATGATATTGACACTACTATTGTAAGTTTGGATTTATAAACTTAATTACAAGTCTGGATTAACCACAGGTGCCTGAAGTGTTGATCGATAGCCCCATCCCACCCCTTTAATTTAAAAAAATGCAAGAGCGCAGGCGCGGATCTAAAAAATTTTCAGTGGGGAGAGGGGTTGAAGAGTAAAAGAGTTACTATAATGTACACGTGTACGTTTTACATATACAAGTTTTTAAAAGTGTGTGGTTGATCAAATTCATGTAGTGTAATACTTATCAATTTTAGCATCGTTTTTGAAAACTTGGCACCAAAAAAAAATTCTGGGGGGGGGGGGGTAGAGGCCAACTTCATTTCAATACCACCTTCTTTCATTACCATTTCTTTTGCATATATTGCCGTGTCTGCAATACTCTTATTTCTATTTACTGAAGCGAAAAGTGGGGGGGGGGACAACCAGCCTTCCAGCCTTCCAGCCTTGCAATGAACATTTTCAATAGTAAAAGTTGTGTTCGAAAAAAAGTAGGGGAGAGGGCACAGTCAAGGTCACTAGGTCATTGACCTTGGTGTCATTTGAAAGAACTTGATTAGTGGAGTATGCATACCAAATATGAAGTCTCTATCTTTTATGGTTCAAATCTTAGGGCGGAAAAAAAATATCTTTAGCATATAGGCGACAGTCAAGGTCACAATGTCATTGACCTTGGTGTCACTTGAAAGAGCTTAAATTAGTGGAGTCTCTCTGCATACATATATATTTCTTTAACTCTTATGATTTTCCAAAATAAATATATTTGTTAATTAAAATACAAACAATATTGTAGCATAGCTAACGGGGCAAAATTTGACAAAAAAGAGAGACTTTAACTTGAAAATTTTAAAAAGAAATGGTACGCGTAGACATTTATGTCACTAAGAGTTATTTCTCTTATCAAAGTACCAATGAACTTTAACTGTCGTTACTGTACTTCAAGTTCAACAGACCTACTTTTGTATTCAAAAGAAGCAGAATTTATTCAAAATCTTATACTCTGAATGAAGCATAATCATGATCAACTATAGGCGCCTTAAGTATGGATCGAGACCCCCCCCCAACACTGATCATGATTAAGGGTGTGTGTTAGGCTATATTGTATAAAGCCAGACCACAGGATCTTGTGTAGAGAAATAAATCAGTTAGAAAATTTAGTACCTCGGAGAAAAAACACGTGTTTTTTTCTCTCCGAGCTACTAATTTTTTAAAACGATTTATTTTCTCTATAGGCCTACACATGACCCTGTGACAAGACTGTACTTGTACGAATTAGTCGAGTAACGAGTTGGCTATGAACGTATTGTTTACCTTACAGGCTCGGGTACCTGATAAACTTTAAAAACTTCATGTCAAGCAAGGTAAGTGGAAAAAATATTTTCATTCAATTAATAAAAACAATTTCATAGTTAGTCACATCACTTAAAATTTATCAAAGTACAGTTTTGAGGTGCTGTCTTGTCTATAATCTAGTTTTTAACCTTTCAGTTGCAAAATATTGACTTCGTAATTTGATAGGCCTAATGCAATACATGTTATGGATGTACAGGTGCATGAAATAGTTTGGTATATCAATAAGAATTTTAATGTCAGCAAATACTGTCCACTTTAAAGTCATACATAGGAAAAGATTAAACTATAAGTGGCCACAATTTTTTTTTATGAGACGGACACAGGCACTTGTTTTGGAAATAATAAATTTTACCCATAGTCCTAGTACTATTAATATTATTAGCCTAGTACTGTGGGTTAAAATTATTTCTGAAACAAGTGCCTTTGGAGACGGGGATTCATTTAAATTTCCCTTACTACAGGGATTGAGGGGTATAGCTGATTTGGTAAGGTTTCTTAAATCTTGCAGTGGGCACTGGGACAGAGCTTAAAATATGCATGTTATATTTTCTTAAACTCATGATTTAATATAAACATGTTCATTGGGGAGAAATGATTAAATAAAGCAATATGTCATTGTCAACGAAATAAAATTTTTAACATAATTAATTGCTATTTGCTAAAATGTCTTTGGAATAATTGATTTAAATTATTAAGACTGATCGTTTCAGTTGGGCCATAGAAGTGCATAGAGAATGTTTCACTTATTGCAATAATGTCTGAGAGAGTTTTGACCAGACAGAATCACTCTTGAGTGTAATCATAACAGGTTATAGGCACTTCCGTTGAGTTTACCTAAAGAAATTTCAACGTTCTGACTAGAATGCTGTTTACAGTGTAAGCATGAGAAATTGTGGGATTCTTACGAGATGCAGTCATTCAATCCGATAGCATGGACTAAGACAGAAATATTATGTAGAGACAATGTGAATCGACATTTTAGCTTGAAATAAAATAAATACTTGTTTTTAAACCAAGAAAGACCATTGGTGATACAATGTAAACAAACTGGAGTGGCATACCTCTCTCTCTTATCATGTTTAGTAGGGTATTTTTTTTGTGGGGCTATTATTTTGGGGTTTTGACAATTTTTTCCTATTGTACACATGATGAATAAGTGTAATAAATGTAATTTGTGAAAAAAAATGTCAAATAAGCCCCAGGGTTGAATATCGGGAGGGGGGATGTCCTGTTCTGTCCTGTCCACAAGTACCAGTGATCGTACTTGGTCAGTTGATGCACATGTTTGTCTGGAAGATGTGTCCCTTATCAAAAGGAAAAAAGGCTATTATTATTTTGTGTTTTTCTGTATATTTTAGAGAACTCATTTAATTCAGTTGACAATTATTATACACTAACTTTATTCTACATTTCACATATATATACAATTACCAAGACTAAAATCACAGTTTGCTAGCTTAAATGACTATGATAATTAACAAACTAATCAACATACATAGACCCAATTAGTGTTTTCTTTTAATTTCATTTTTTGTTTAATTTTTTTTTCTTCTGGTTATCAATTTATTCATAGATTCTTGATTATATAATCCACTTTGAAAGGGATTTCTTCCTTTGAACTGTCAAATGAACCATGTTTATCTACCATTCAAGGCAATTCTTGTGCAAGACAATCCCTGGTATCAACTGTAATGACCACCCAGGAGCTTGATGTGAAATTCAAAACAAGATTAAAATCTCCGCTGTTGTCCTAGGGTTGTCATCGTTTTCTGTGACAATACTATACATTACACAGCAATTACAGCATCCCTTAATGGATAAGAGAGACCCACAAGAATTGTGTTTGTGGAGTGATGGAGGATTGGATGTTTATATTACTCAGTATTGGGCCAGATATAAAATGTCATTTGTTCAATCAATCTGATAAAAATCAGCTGCTTTAGACATGCATGCTCTGCATGACGTTGGAGTATCACATAATGATGGGGGGAGTAGAAAGTAAGAATTTTAACTAGGATTGATTAATATATGGTTAAAATTGATAGCCAACTATGGCCTAATGAATCTGTTCGCCAATCCTCAAACCTTGATTTTCTGAGTTTTGAGTGAGTATAATAAAGTTCTTGTCCAGAGTTTGAAGGACAATCTGTGGAGATGGGGGTAACTTATATAATTCAGGCGCAAGTCTAAAGACACTAATTTTTGTTATTTCATCATGGAATAATTAGTGTGTGTTGAGACTGAGAGGGCTGAAAAAGTAGTAACAGTTAATGAAATTATAAATTAAAAATAAGAATTAAATTTCTTCGTACATTGTTGTTGGATAAATTAAATCTTATTTACTGCCACCTGGTAATTTCAAAATTTACAAAATGACATTATGAAAGAATATATTGAAAATGGTAAAAAAAAGTATGGACAGTAGATTCACTTCAATGCCATTTTGTTAGAGATGCCAGTTAATAAAGCGTTTGACATATACTGACGCCACTGTACATGATGGTGCATGGTGTCAGTGAATGTTTTGATGGTATATATCCTGTGTCTTTAAAAATCATTTTTCTTGCATATATGAAAACATTGACAGTATTCATTAATCTACTTTTTTGTCATAAAATCAAGAATTACAAGAAAGCTGCATACATTAGGAAAAATGACACATTTCTAGATCTTGGCTCGGCATGGCACAGAAGTGTTCTAAAAGGTTCATGTTTTGCCTTGATTACATTAATTATATATCAAAGATTCATTAAATTTAACCATGTTTTATCACTATGGTTAAGTTTCACACACTGTCCAGCATGTTAATAAGTGGAGCACTCTATTTTACATCCATTTGTTAAATTCAGAATAATGAATGGGCATGTGCACACTGTTTCAGGTCTATTTATATAATTATATAATTATAATTTTTTTTTATCATGAGATGCATTTCCATTAATAATTTTTCTCCCCTTTTATTCAAACAAGACGAGTGACATGTATAAATTTATGCAAACCGTTTACTTCTTGTTAGACATGGTATAGAGACGTAAGTATCCGTGACGTTAATTAATTTTTAGTCTGTTGTGGTTTTCAGTTTGCAGTAGCTCTTAAAATATATAATAATATATCACCGATGTAAAAGTACCTTAAAAAATTGGAACAACTTAGTGCAGTTTGCTGCCCATTAATTAAACCAAATTTTGATCATTTTGATCTTAATTCTAATATATATTCATTAAGGTTGTTTCTCATCTTTATTAGTTTTAACCACAGCGTGACCTTTGCTTTGAAATTCTGTCGTCATTTATTGCCGACCTGAACTATTTATGGTCTACAGTGAGTATTGTTAAAACATTCACATGCGTTACTTACAAGAATACTAGAATAGAAAAAGTTGTTCATGTCATAATGTTTTAGAAAGATGAATTATGTTCTTTTTGTACTCTTAAATTTATTTGCGTTAATAGTAAAATAAAGAAAAATATTAATAAAACATGTATTAAATCTTACTTTTGATATCATAAAATTCCCAATCTATATATAACAGGTTGATAAAGCTATATAGCTAAAATTTAAAATACCTTGATCAAGGTATTTTATATGAAAATAATAAAAATTAATTACAAAGTGTTCTGAGTTGTTGTCAGTAAATTCACCCATGCATGTAAAACACTCAAACACAAACAAATCAGTAGAAAAACGTGTCGTTAGAGGAGACGTTATTTTATGCTTTCTTTTTGATACCAGAGTGTTTTTCATGCACGAATAGACACACTGTCAAAAACTTAGAACTCGACATTCAGTATTTAATTTTTAAAGAATTTTTTTGAATTTTCATTACATAAAATACCTTGATCAGGGTATTTTAAATACCTTGATAAAGCTATATAGCTTTATCAAGCTATATACCTTTATCGGGGTATTGTGCTGGACCTGTATAATGTAATATAGGAAACTCAAAGATAATAGTGGATTCTAACATGTCATTTAGAATTTTCCATTCTTTTTCTTATTTTTAATACACTTACTAAGCTGGTATATTAAGAACTGTGTAGTATCTCTTTGCCACTGAGGATCCAGACAAAGGTGGATCCAGGGCCGGCGGCGGGGCGTCCGTCCCTGACCCTCTGCCTTCTACTGACACCCCCCCCCCCCCCCCGTTACGAAATTCCTGGATCCGCCACTGCCAGAGAAGTGACATGTGTTTTATGTCGATCGTTGCATGTACAGAACAATTAATTTTTTTACTGTGCAGACAGGGTTGCGCTCCATGTTATTTTTGCCCTTTCGCACTTGCCAACAATTCTGCCCCATTTTAAATTCGCCCAGTAACAGTTTTCTTTAAGAAATTATTTTGTGTAAATTGAATTCGTCCCGTTTTCAATTCACCCACTTGTGATTATAGGGCGAACGGGGCGAAAATAAATCATCAAAGGGGCAAAATTTTCACTGTATGCATTAGATAGATGATTATTTATTGCTAGCAACTACGTTAGTCCAAATTCCTCGAATACGCATGCTCGGCTTCACGATCGTGCATTCTGGGAAAACTGTGAAAACTACTATAGATAGACCGTACGATAACAATTTCGTTGTATCATGTTGTAGCATTAAATAACTATGTTTAATTATTGTGTAGCTTACACTTTAAAGATAAATACATATTTATAGTACTTCAAATTTTCCGTTTTTTTCATGGCGGAAAAGCCCGAGTCATTATCTGATTGTTCTAAACAAAGATAATGGAGTTTTTTTTTACGTCTAAGCACAACCAAAGATAGACTCTAATTTCAAATTGGTCAATTAAGCCAATCTTACAAAATCCAGAAACAAGAATTTACACTAAAATAACGAATAAATCCATTATTTATTTAAAAAAATAACCTTTACTATAGTAAATGTTCATATGGCTTTATAACCATAGTATAGTGATAGCAAGGATTGTTAGGAGAAAATTGGAAGTGATAGTAAGTTGGCTTTGAAAAAGTTGGCCACCTAGGATTTTGGAGTTTGGCCAACTCTT